AGCCGTTGTGGTTGTGAGCTCTGCCTTGTTGGTGTGGTCTTTGATGTTGCTCTGCGTGTAGGTGTTATCTTTCTTCTGAATCTGGTTTCTCCAGTCCAGTTGTCACCTTCTAGTCTTCGTTGTAGTTCTTGCTTGGAAAGTTGTGTTGGGTTCTCTTGTAGTTGTTCTTGTTCTTGCCCTTGTCTGTTGATGATGGTTAGTCGCCAATCATCTAGTTCTCCTTCAGGTATTGGGCAACCGCTGTTGTGTGGTGTGAATAATGCTTTGCGTGGTCGTTTGTGTACTCTGACGGCGTAGTCACCATCAAGTTTCCAGTTGTTGTACTGTTTTCTCCGTAGGTTGAATCACAGCAATGGATTTTCCATTGTCTGTGGTCATTGGGTAGATGTCGAATCCTGTAGGGATGTCGATCTTCTCTGCTCGTAGGTAGAAAAGTCCTGAGTGTCTTATAAGGTGTGCTTGTTGTTGTCCATGTGTGATGGTGCAGTGTCGTGGAGTGAAGTCAAGTCCATATCCTCTACCAAGTAGTCTTGATGCACTGAGGATTGGATACTTCACATCACAAACGTAGTAGGGTATCATGATCCTGAAGTTGTCCTGCTTGTAGGGAACGTACTTGATGCCGTAGACAGGAATCTTCTTGTTTGCAACCGTGTAAAGTTGTGGAACCGATTCTCCACAAGGTCGTAGCGGTAGGTCTGGTGCGTAGTCCTTCGGGCAAACATGTGTAGATGCTCCTGAGTCGATCAACAGGTGGTGGTATGACTTGAAGTTGGAGTACATGATGTAGTGTGTGATAGTGTCCTCAATCTTCTTGTTCCTTTGTTGTTGTCTTGCTGCTGCTATGTCAAAGTGTGGCTGTGTGTTGTCTTCTTGTAGGAATTGTTGAAAGCTCTTGCTGTGGTCGCTCCATGATGTTGTGTGTGTTGTTCTCTTGCCAAGTAGTGATTTGGATTTGTGCTTGTGTAGTCGTGAGTTTGCTTGTCTGATGTGTCCAATGGTAAGGTGTGACTCGTTGATGCCTCCAATGTAGTTTGCTGTGTCCTCATAGCTGTTGTCATTCCAATCCCAGCTGTTGTCATAGTCGTAGTCGTTCCAGTTCTCCTCCATGTAGTTCACCTCGTGTTGTCCTTCTTCTCCTTCGTAGTACCAGTCCCAAGTGTCGTTCACATCCTGAGGTAGTTCTTCATTGTTGTCATGATCTGCTTGTTCTTGTTCTAGTGGATGTAGTTCTTCTCCTTCTCCTATGTGCCATACTGGCACTCTGCAGTCTTGTGCCCAGTGGCCAGGCTTGCCACATCGATGGCATGTTGTGTAGTTGTTGTTTCCTTTTCCTTTTGATTTGCTGTAGTTTCCTTGGCCTTTGTAGCCTTTGCTTGATCCATATCCTTTGGGTCCTGAGTAGCCTTTTCCTTTGCTCTTGTTGTATCCTCCTCTGTTGTAGTTTCCTTTGCTGCCTTTGTCGAATCCTTTGTAGTGGCCTTTGCTTCTGTACTTGCCTTTTCCTTTGTTTCCTTTGTAGGATCCTTTGCCTCCATATTTGCTTTTGCCTTTGTAGTTTCTTCCTTTCCTCCAAATGTTGTCCACGTCCATGGGTTCCACCATTGTAGTTTGTGCCAACTGCTGAGCTCGCTCTTAGAATGCAGATATGGTCTTGTAGTAGTCCAGGATGACAACTCTGATCTCGTTGTAGTTCGTGATCTGTCCAGCACGTAGTTGGAGATGTTGTTGAAGTGCTCCTTTGGTCTTGTTGAGTAGTATTGCAATCTTCACTCCATCTGGTAGTGCTGTGCCGTTGTCTTTCTCGTAGCGGTTGATGTCATACTCCCACTGTAGGAAGTGTTCTTCAAATTGTGCTTCATTGAATGTAGGTTCCAGTAGTTTGGTGCGGTAGCCAACACTGCGTGTTCCTACTGGTAGGCTGAACCTGTTGTGCAAAAGCCGTAGTGTTTCACATCCATTGGCATTGTAGCGGTTTTGTCTGACCACTGTAGCTGCTGCACCTTGGCAGATGTTGATGAGGATGTAGTGTAGATCTCGTGAGAGGTCTACTGCTTTTGCTGCCTGTGTAGGGTCGCGTATGTGGGCTCTGATGTCTGCATCTTCAATTTGTCTTGTAGCTGCTTGTGCTAGTTGTAGTACCATGTCGAAGTCTCGGTCGATGAGTCCGAGGTATGCTTGTAGTTTGAACAGCCACTCTTCGTACTGTGAGTAGTCACCAGTGAAGAACGGTGGTGGCAGTTTGTATTTGTGTAGCCTTTGGACGTCTTCCTGCTCCTGTGTTGTTCCCGTAGTTGTGGCTCCTATTGTCTCCTCTGCTGTGGGCCCGTTGTCTGCTCCTGTAGTTGGTTGTGCTGATGCTGGTTCTCCTGACATGTCGTAGTAGTTGGGCATGTGGTTGCCTGTGCAGTTGTAGTACTTACTGCTGTTACTGGAGCTCCCCTATGTTTAGGATCTCAGCTCCGCTACCACGTTAAAAATTCGCCGATACTTTACTACAAGTGCAGGTGTTGTTTCTGTTGTCACAAACACAAATGTAGTTAGCCAGCATGCACTCTTTTCCTGGTAGACTCAAGGCCTGCGGTCGGGTAGTGTACATCATGCATGCACAAGGGACAAGTAGTGCAGCATGATATTTGACAGAGAGAGAGAGAGAGAGAGAGAGAGAGAGAGAGAGAGAGAGAGAGAGAGAGAGAGAGAGAGAGAGAGAGAGAGAGAGAGAGAGAGAGAGAGAGAGAGAGAGAGAGAGAGAGAGAGAGAGAGAGAGAGAGAGAGAGAGAGAGAGAGAGAGAGAAGAGAGAGAGAGAGAGAGAGAGAGAGAGAAGAGAGAAGAGAGAGAGAGGAGAGAGAGAGAGAGAGAGAGAGAGAGAGAGAGAGAGAGAGAGCGAGAGAGAGAGAGAGAGAGCGAGAGAGAGAGAGAGAGAGAGAGAGAAAAAAAAAGAGAGACAGAGGGGCATGGATACAATGCTCAGATGACGCGTGGGCGGGTTACAGTGCTGAGACGACGCGCGAGCGGGTGTTCTTACCATGTTCCAGGCATGGATACAATGCTGAGATGACGCGCGGGGGCGGGTGTGCTTGCTGTGTGCCAGGCATGGATACAATGCTGAGATGACGCGTGTGGGCGCGTGTTCTTACCATGTGCCAGGCATGGATACAATGCTGAGATGACGCGCGTGAACGGGTGTGTGCTTATCATGGGCCCATGGGTACAGTGCTGAGATGACGCGCGTGGGCGGGTGTGCTTACCATGTGCCAGGCATGGATACAATGCGGAGATGACGCGCGTGGACGGGTGTGCAAAGCATGTGCCAGTGCTGAGATGACGTGCGTGGGCACGTGTGCTTACCATGTGCCAGGCATGGATACAATGCTGAGATGACGCGCCTGGGCGGGTGTGCTTATAATGTGCCAGCATGGATGCAATGCTGAAATGACGCGCGTGGGCGGGTGTGCTTATCATTTGCCACGCATGGGTACAGTGCTGAGATGACGCGCGTGGGCGGGTGCGCTTACCATGTGACAGGCATGGATACAATGCCGAGATGACGCGCGCTATGTGGCAGGCATGGATACAATGCTGAGATGACGCGCGTGGGCGGGTGTTCTCACAATGTGCCAGGCATGGACACAATGCTGAGATGACCTGCGTGGGCGGGTGTGCTTACCATTTGCCAGGCATGGGTACAGCGCTGAGATGACGCGCGTGGGCGGGTGTGCTTACCATGTTGCCACGCATGGGTACAATGCTGAGATGACGCGTGTGGGCGGGTGTGCTTATCATGCGTGGACGGGTGTCTTACCATGTGCCAGGCAGTGCGTGATGCGCGTGGGCGGGTGCGCTTACCATGTGCCAGGCATGGACACAATGCTGAGATGACGCGCGTGGGCGGGTGGGCTTACCATGTGCCAGGCATGGATACAATGCTGAGATGACGCGCGTGGGCGGCTGTGCTTGTCATTTGCCAGGCATGGGTACAGTGCTGAGATGATGCGCGTGGGCGGGTGCGCTTACCATGTGCTAGGCATGGATACAATGCTGAGATGACGCGTGTGGGCGATTGCGCTTATCATGTGCCAGGCATGGGAGCAGTGCTGAGATGACGCGCGTGGGCGGGCGTGCTTACCATGTGCCAGGCATGGATACAATGCTGAGATGACGCGCGTGGGCCGCGTGGCATTTGCCGGCGTGGCATAGGCTGCATGGTGTCCAGGTCTATGCTGGGGTCCTCCGTGACCCTCTCAGATTCAACAGCTTCACCGGCTTCAGCAGGAAACCTCTGTTGGTGGTGGGCCTACTGATCTCAGGGGGTCCTGCGACTTCCGGTGGGATAAGGTCTTCGGATGGCTGGTTGGGCATGTACATCCAAGCTCCATGGTGTGTCTCGTGCCGTTGATGGCGCCGGGCGCAGATCCATCCGAATTGGGTGGCCATGAGGACGTCGCCTGCACAAGAGCCATCCGGAACAGGGGGTTCCTCCGCGGTCCTCCGAGAAAATGTCGAAGTGCTCAGGCGCTGGGCTCCGCTGCCAACTCATCGATCCGACTTGCGAATGTCGGTCGACTTCCATAGGGTGTCAGCACACGCGCGGCGGGTGCCTTTTGCTGCAAAAGGCATTCAGCTCATGGGCCCTTGAACCAGCAAGGTCCGCGATGCATGCAATGTGTCAACGGGCCTATGCACAATGAGGCTGAGTGGCCAAAAACTTGTCAGTAACAGCCGCATGCCGACAAGAACAAGAACAAGAACAAGAACAAGAACAAGAACAAGAACAACAGCACCAGCACCAGCACCAGCAGCGGCAGCAGCGGCGGCAACAGCAGCAGCCGCAAGGGCAACAGCAACGATGCCGGTGACAACAAACATAAAAGGGACAGCAACAGCAACAACAGTGGCATCTGCGCGTGCGGCCTGCAAACAGTACTTGTCCACACTTTTCTGGACAATCAAATCTTTCAAAAACATTTCAGCACGCTGCAAGCTTCTTTAGCCAAGGCGCCCTTTGATAATGCAAGTCCAAATGGTGATCCATGCTGTCAGTTGCAAATTCGCAACCCATTGGTCCTTCTGCTCCTGGCACACAGGCTCGCGGTACAAATGGATGATGCATTGAGCAAAGGAAGTCACGCACGCGTAACCCAAAAGAGAACATGGCTGCTGTCACCCAGTTGACGTCGCCACCTGCGCACTAAGCCAACTCTGGAATCATAGTTGAAGAGCTGCCAAGAATTGCTGAACAGTTCAGCAGGAATCATTGGGGCAATGTCAGCGGTCCTCCTTGAGGCAGCGTTCATAGAAAACATTTGGCAGCGCGCTCAGCAGAGCACTGAGCACCGTCAAGGCAGCACCAAGCCAAGGCCGTGCCCCTCGTTCTACAGGCCCTTGCACCTCTGCCAGCTGCGTGCAAACTGCTCCTTGGGTCAGCCCACTCAAGCATTAGCTGGCTTGGGCTTAGACATGCGAGCCAAATGTCAAATGCGCAAGACACAAAGGCTTCCAGCGAAAGCTGCCTAGCTGCCTAACTGCCTGGCTGCCTGGCTGCATATCTGTGGCCTGGGTTGCTGCCTAGCTGCGTACCTGCCTGGCTGCCTAGCTTCCTGGCTGCCTAGCTTCCTGGCTGCCTAGCTTCCTGGCTGCTGGCTGCGTGGCTTCCTAACTGCCTGGATGCCTAGCTAGCTGCGTACCTGGCTGCCTAGCTGCCTGGCTGTCTAGCTGGCCTGCTGCTTTCATCCAAGTGCGTGTTTGCCCTTCGCGAAGTGAAGCACGCCTGACCCCTGCTTGCCAAACCAGTAAAAATGTACATCAAGCACAAATGTGCATAGCGTTGAGCTGCGTTCAGGATCCGAACCACTATTCCATCAAATCAACAACTTCTGCAACACTGTCGCCTTTAATCATGGAGACCATCAAGTCAGCATGACGCAGCCGGAGACTGCTCGGTTGCTGGTTGGAAGGCACACGAGCATGCCAAATTGGACCGCATCCTATTCCAGCAGGCAGCACTGAAGTTCCACCAAGCGGCCAATCACCAGAAGGGTGAGGCTGATGAGCTGCAAGCGCGAAAATCTCTTGTCAAGCATCTGCCACATGAGTACTGCTGTGAAGATCATCTTGCACTGACCTCAGCGCAACAGATTTTGCCAGGGTGCCGTTTTTGGTAGGGAAACATTCTCTTCATTCTGGCGGCCCTTGTGTGTTCTCAAGGCAACCGGGGGGCTCAAGACCTGGTAAGCAGCAGCAGACGAAAATTGTAGGCACACAAAATACAACAGATTCTGCGCTGCATAGAGCAGGCCCATCCACCACATAGCCAAGGGGGACTGTGACACAGCTGCTGCCATTGTGGGGCCCAAGCTGTGCGCAGACTGGAATGAAGCCAAGGCTAAAAGTATGAGAGGAGGTTTAAGGACTTCGCTGATCAGGGACACATTGCTTCCCGAGTAGGGCAGCTGCAAGTGCGCCTTGGTGAACCACGTCAGCGCGTCAGCACCACATTTCTGGAGAACCAGCGCGACCAGCAGCATGATGGGCAAGAAATTCTTTGACCGTGACAATTCTCCGAGGAAAGGAACTGCGCCACCAGCAAGCATTGCTGCAAAGAACCTCTTGCAGGCCGTCAAAGTGCATGGGTCGTATGGCAAAGTGAAGCTGCGGCTTGCATGCCAGGGCCGGATCCCAGGTAATGCTACCAAGGCAGCCAAGATAATTGCAAGCACACCAAGCAACTTTCGCCTGCGGCACGTAACCGATATGCAGGACTCGGCTGCCATTGCTCCTCCCGTACAATACATCTACTCATAACACTCCATCCTTCTTTTTCTGAGCCAAAAGCACCTCTCAAAGGATGCCCCCAAGAATGCAAGAGATGATGCAGCATATGAACATAACACTCTGGCATTCACATGCACCGACAATCAATCACAAAGTGCTTTGGCTGCATGTCGGCCATGGTGGTGCCATGCAAACTTAGCTGGCAAACAGGGCGAGGAAAACTGAGCACGCCCAGCCCAAGCAATGCTGAATGCCCTCACCAGGCACAAAGAGGGCACAAGATGCACAAGACAAGCCAAATAGCACATCCAGTATTTTCTACCCGGACGTTAACATATTGCAGCATTCAAACTCTCCAGCATTGTCACTCCAAGCAAACTACGCACCATGATTTTGCAGTTTGGCCTTCAAACATATTTTCACCATGTCAGCAGGCCACGGTGAAAACTGCAAATGCGTCTTTTCTCGACGGCTTGGAACGTCCATATCATACAGGTTGACTTGCAACAAGTGTGTAGCGGAGTTTCGAAACACCTAGTATCACTTGGCATCACCCTTTGCCATAGGTTAGGATGGACACCACAACCAGAAGAACGCCAGTCAGCATCAAAGGCGAAGGCATTGTGCTGGAGGCCGCAGCCGTCACTGCACAGGTGAGAACCTGAAAGTGGGGACAAGCCAGCCATCCAGAAAAAAAAAAAGCGCTCACGGATACCCAACGGTTCAACAACAACAAACGGATATCATATTAGCAAAGGCAGTAAGAAGAAGAGAACACTGAGGGCCTGGAAATTCAAGCCAAACGCAAACAATAGGCTAAAGCTAATGAACACACTGACAACCAATTAAAGGACCGGATAACCCCACATGCTATGTTTTTGCCAAGGATGTGAGTTCAAATGTCCACACACATGTACCGTGCGCCCCTTGTATGGATGCGATTACAGAGCAGGTCTAGCGCGCTCTTTTCATCGCAGGCGTTGCTAACCTACTGCAGCCCGAGCCGCTAATCAACAAAACAAAGCAAGTTCGATACATTCTCGAACTTAGTCCATCTTGTTAGATTATTGGCTGCGCCGCACGTGCATCTCAGGAGGTCATCTTGCAGCTCAGCATCGGAGAAGATCTGGACACTTTCCCAAAGAGAAATAGCACTGTGGTATCCGTTGGACGATGAAGTCAAGCTTTTTCAGTCAGATGTCCATCTCAAGGCTTCTCCGCGGGGAACCTGCAGGGCCTGCCTTCCTGAAAGGTTCCAATGAAGGTGCGCGCTGCGGCTGGAATGTCGACAGAACGCGGACCGCTCCGCCTACATTGTGAATCCATCAGCAGCGCCGAGGGCTTGGCAGGGCAGCCGTGGAGCAGCTTATCCAACTTGGAGCAGCTCATCCACGACTTCGGCAATGGCATCTCCACACCCAGATGCACAGAATGCAGCGCCTGCCACGACTTCGGCAACGGCATCGCCAAAGTGCTGCGCCTGCCACGATTTCGCACGCCCCCCGCCGCGCGCGCTGCGCCTGCCACGATTTCGCACGCCCCCCGCCGCGCGCGCGACAACATCCTGTCCCGTTAGACAGCTGCCGAACGCTGCGCCTGCCACGATTTCGCACGCCCCCCGCCGCGCGCGCGACAACATCCTGTCCTTTTAGACAGCTGCCAAATGCTGCCCCTGCCACACAAACACACACCCAGATGCACAGAATGCTGCGCCTGCCACGACTTCGGCAATGGCATCGCCAAAGTGCTGCGCCTGCCACGATTTCGCACGCCCCCCGCCGCGCGCGCGACAACATCCTGTCCCGTTAGACAGCTGCCGAACGCTGCGCCTGCCACGATTTCGCACGCCCCCCGCCGCGCGCGCGACAACATCCTGTCCCTCTAGACAGCTGCCGAATGCGACCCCTGCCACACAAACACACACCCAGATGCACAGAATGCTGCGCCTGCCACGACTTCGGCAACGGCATCGCCAAAGTGCTGCGCCTGCCACGATTTCGCACGCCCCCCGCCGCGCGCGCGCCAACATCCTGTCCCTTTAGACAGCCGCAAATTTCTGCCCCTGCCACACAAACACACACCCAAATGCACAGAATGCTGCGCCTGCCACGACTTCGGCAATGGCATCTCCACACCCAGATGCACAGAATGCAGCGCCTGCCACGACAGAGGCAACGGCATCGCCAAAGTGCTGCGCCTGCCACGATTTCGCACGCCCCCCGCCGCGCGCGAGTGTGAGTGAGTGAGTGAGCGAGTGAGTGAGTGAGTGAGTGAATGAGAGTGAGTGAATGAGAGTGAGTGTGAGTGAGTGAGTGTGAGTGAGCGTGAGTGAGTGAGTGAGTGAGT